GTTTTTGCCGCTAAAACGCTGTAGCGTAGCGTAACACAGCGTAGCGGCGCCAGCGGTGCGCTAACACTACACCAAAATTTGGCTAGTGTTAGCGCCGCTACAAGTTAGCGTAGCGCAGCGGCAGTAGCAGCGCGCTAACACTACACACAAAAAAAAAAAATGGAGCCGCTACGCTAACGCTACATGGGCCTGTAGCGTAGTGTAGCGTAGCGGCCCACCGCTGATTGACATGAAGCAAAAAATATTTTACATGCTTTTGGCTTTCCAGCTATTGAGCCCGTTTTCATGCAAACCCCTGATTACTTCAGAGTTGCAGACAAGATATCACACACTAGATATTGAGTGCATGCATAAAACTGATCCCCAACTAAAAAAATAAAAAGACCTATTCAACAGAACCCTCAATTGTCTGAGACACAATCTGTAAGGAAGCTCAAGTAGCCCTCAAGAGCAAAGCTGACAAAGATTTCCTCAGAGAAATGGTAATTTTAATTCCTTCCTTTCATCTAGTTGTGGCAAGGCTACAAATATTCTGAAAACAAATGTATCACACTTGCTTGCTATTGTAGAGCAAAAGCTGGCTAGAGGGGTTCTAGAATCCACTGAAGCTCAGGGTGTGATAGCCTTCATCAGAGATTAAGGACCTACAATTGTGTAAGTCAGATTCACAGTTTTTGGCTTTTTTAAAAAAAAATATTGAAAGATATATCAATTGCATTTTGATGATTTTGAACATTGCTCCTTGGAAAATAAAAAAATAATTGAATTTCCCTGGTTCTAAATTCAAAGAGATAGAGAAAAAATCCCCAAGATAAGGATCAAGTGCTAGAATTGTTGAGAAAGATAGTATTGGCTAGGTAAGTTCTTGGCATACTGGAAATTCACTGCACATTGAAGCACTTTGAAAAACAGAAGAAAATGTGTGAAACACACTAATCTCAAATATTTTTCCTTCCAACCAATATTCATATTCAAGTTAATTCAAGTAGCGGCAGCCAACAACAAATTAATAGGAGGAATTAAGGGTGGATATTGGAAGTTATAAGTGTTGAAATCACAAATCAGTCCCAGTCAGCTTGCAGTGGGGGGGGAAATTAGATGACAATCAATAGAAAGTAGTTGCGGAAAAGCATGTGAAACCTAAAATACTCACAGGTGTCACAAAACAAACTCAATCAATGACATAATTGATTAATCCAAACAGCTACTTAGAGCATCTCCACCGTGGGCCCTATTTCCCTCCAATAGGGACCAAAAAAGGTGGATAGCAACCAAGCCATTTTTCTTTCCACCGCTAGCAGGTGTATCGGCCTTGAAAGTTGGTGAAAGCCAATCAGCCGGAGCTGTGGTGTGCTTGAGGATGTGTGAAACCTTCTGATGTTGGAAGGTTCACACGACATGGGGCCAATTAGTCAGGCCTTATTGAGTCTGTGTACATACAGCTTGATAGGGACTTTTGACCATTGTCCCTATCATAGGGCCTCACATAGGGGCCGCGGTGGCTGTGGTTTTGCGCCTCACGGTCCCTATATGCGGGATAGGGACCCAATATAGGGCCTGCGGTGGAGAGGCTCTTAGTCTTTACAGCCTCCCCCCTATCCTAGCTTGGTAGAGAGCCGCTCCACTTTCTTTTCTACCAAGCTAGGTTAGTCTTTTCTTTTATCTCCCTCAAATTCATTCACCTTTGTTTCCTTGTATTTCATTTTCATATTTCCTTCATTCAGATTGAATTTACTGAGAAAACCGCCCTGCTTTATTTTCTACTGATGTGGTAACCCATACCTTTCCATAGCATTTATTATTTCACTGTGGGAATTATTACATTATTACTACTTAGTCAGATTTTACATCCTTTTTTGCCTACAGTCACTCACTCAAGCCATATCTCATTTCTTACTGGATCACTAGTTATTTTCAGTCTTAGTTTTACAGATATTATTCTTTGCATTTACATTACACATTAGCTACATGCAGTAAATATTTACAGATTGCTACATACATCATATATTTCACAAGTACTGTCTTTTACATATATCTCTTCTGATTACATCAGCTACACTCCTTTTTAGTCTTTCTTTTCAGATTATATACTACATATATTTTTCTCAGACGCACTATTTAAATTTACAATTATGCTTTCTCATGTAGTTCATAGGATGACAGTAGTACACTCATTCAAATTCCTTCATCTTTTGGGATTGTTTTTCTTTACTCATCCTCCTTTTGATTTTTTACATTTCACGTCTCTTGTGCTACATATGTACGGTCTATCAAGCCCGTCTGGGCACTGGCCAAAGTTTGGCCAAAAATGAGCCAAGCAGGCTGGGCCAATGCAAAGGCTTGCGTGGCACATTCTAAACCAGGCTTGTCACCCTCCCAACCCCCACTTGGGACATGCCAAAGTTGGCGGGGGTTGGGCCAACGCTTTGCTTGGCCAAGCCCAAGCAAGGGTGCCACCCAAATTTAACACAAGGTCCCCCAGAGGAGGTCACACAGCAGCCTCCAAAGGAGTAGAGAGGCTTTGTTAATCTCAAAAACCACCCCGGTTAAAACAAAAGACTTACTGTCTTTGTGTGTTGGTGTGTGAGGAAGTGAGGCATTGAGGGGTGTCGCTTGAATCAGCCAAGCGCTTGGGGTCGGCCCATTGGGACTTGGCTGGGTGCCAAGATGTCAGCTTGCTACTATGGCAGAGACAACCTGTCATAGCAAATAAAATAAATAAATCAAATAAAAATCTAAGTATAAAGTAAAATTATTACATAAGTAAAAGAAACAATATTACTTATGTAAATAAGATAAAAAATACATAAAAATAAATGAATAACTTAAAAAGGATAAGAAAAACTTTAATTATTATTGCAGATTCTGAATCTGAATACAATTTAACCTAGGGTACCTTAGCCAAAGTTACCCTCAATTCTAACTCCTTCTCCCTGTAATTTATGCATGAATAATTAAAAGGTACCCCAGATCATGGTTACTGTGACACTTCTGCATAATGCATAATGCATATACTCCAAATCCAGTCTCAGAATTGGAGTATTGTGTATGGTTTAGAAGATAGAGTAGTGTGGAGTCCTGTCTCCAAGCCCACGCACTACGTAGTCATGCTGCGCACCAGTATCCAAGGAATGGGCCACAAAAGCCCCAGAATCCCCATTGCACATGACGACAGAGCCCCCACATGTGTAATAAGAATATAAAAAAGCTAGAATATCCATGAAAGTACTACAGTAACCATATTCCAATGGGTAACACGTGTAGCAAGCCTCAGAAGACACCTCTGGAATATTCTGTGGCCCATTTCCAAGGAAACTGCTCCACGTAACAGAGTAGCCCCTATCCACAGGTTCCCATGGGACATTCTTGGCTGTAATAACTTTGTGCATGAGCCCTTGGAGCTTCTAGAATATTATCCCCAAGGTCCCAGCCCTGGTTACATCACCATGTGGGCCAAAATGGGCCCAAAAGCGCCCCCAAGTCCTACTAAGCTCCCCTGAGCAACCCCTGAGGCCTTCCACAGGTATTTAAAGGGCCTTCTGACCGCCCAAATAATGATCCCCCAGCTTTACAATACCTTATAGAAATTTACTTACCATTTACAAGTCTCCTACACTTGTAATTAGCCTAGTTATTACTATTTTTGCTGTTATCAAGCCTCAAGAACCCTCAAGAAACTCCCCAGTTATCACCCATCACCCAAAATCAACCTTTCTGAGCGCTCCCAACTGTCCAGTTTCTACTAAGAAAATCCTCAAGACCCCTTTGGATTATTACTAGTGAGTAATAACCCTTTCTTGAAGATTTTCCCCTAAAAATTATCTCCTGGGATTTAAACCACACCTGCTACAGGCCCCAGTGTATCAGGTACCTAAATCCTCTGCTTTTTGCACGATACCTTAGAGGGATTAAACCACCCCTGATTTATCAGGCCCCTCTGGTTTAATTTATATTAATTTTATTAATATAAATTGGCCACTTTTTGATTTAATCCATAAATTCCACATAATTCTTTTGAATTACCTGTACCAGTTCTATCCCAGAGTTTTTGCCATAAAAAATCTTAATTTTTGCACCTTGTGTAGCTAGAGGACACGTGTCTTGGCATCACATAGGCTGACACAAGATCAGAGACCTGCCCAACCTGGCCAATAAAGCCCCCTGGGCACACTCCCAAGCCCTGGTGGTGCTTGTACAAGCGGGACTTGGGATTTTGCCCAGCATGGCTTGATACACCACACATGTTGTTCCCATAGGCAGAATTACTGTAACCTGTGCTCATTTTTACCCTAGTGTATATATACATTCTTCTCATCACTTGTACACCACCTATGAATTTTCTACTCTACAGATATTATTGTGCCCCTCAGATAAAATCTATTTTACTTTCAGAACTCATATTAGTGACCTTGCCCTGTTTGGTGCTTTGCTCCCAGAAATAGCATTACACTCAGTGTCCTTAGAGCAAAAGTGAAACCAATATTAGCCGGGTACTGGTATTGGGGTGGTATTGCCCTAGAATACCACCCAATATTTGGGCCCAGTATAGTATTGGCCCCCCTGGCACAATAATTTTTATTGATGGGCACATGTATTGGGCAGCCAATACAGTACAATTTATTAATCATTAATGTATTGGCCCAGCCAATACAATACCAATAATAAAGCTCAAATTTATCAGTGTGAATTTCAAAAAACCACCAATCAACACACCCCATCCCTAACCTCTCCAGGAAGACATCTAAATTACACCTCTCAGGACACCCCCACATAACAGTCATCTCTGAAGAGTCATGGATCCTAAAATGAGAATGAGATGGAAAAACTCCCCAAGGGAAAAGTTTATTTATTGATCAGTAGTATTAATATATATACAACTCTGTAAAGACATAGTTGGGTTGATGAGCAATAGAAACATAATAGACTATAAGATAATGAAAGTGTGAGAAAAATATATCTAAATCCACGAGAAAATATAAATATATGGATAAACCCATATTCAGTCACAACAATCTCAACCCCACCAAAAGGCTCTCTCCCATGCGGAATTCACCTGTCCAACTCTTTGACTTTGGCAATGTGCTCTCACCTTCCTTCCTCAAGGGCAGTCCTAGCTCATTACTGCTGAGAATCAATTCCCAGAATCATTACATCAATACCTCCACTGATGCCTCCAAACTCTCAGGCTCCTATCAATCCAAATTCCCATCAGCTACAATGCCTGATAAGGTCTTCTCACCTGGTTGATTCTTGAGCTCATCAAATAAGAATAAACCTCTTCCGTCTGTTGCTGAAACTAGCAAACAAATTGACAAATAATCACCTAATCTGTTGTTGTGTGGATCAGTGGGCTTATTGGATGCTCATCTTAACGTGGGATCTTCTTCTGGAAAAAGCAAGAACTCTTTTCTCCCTCCTGTTCCGTTCCACACAAGTTAAAATAAAATCAATTGATCCACTCCCGGAAATCCAAATCTATCAAGGCTTCTTCTTCCCATGAGACTCTCAATCTGATGATTCCTGGGCCATCTGAATCAAGAAGAACAAAGAAAAAATCAATTGAGTCTTCTGGTTATTGAGAACCTTTACCTGCTTGTCTTCTGCTGGTATCACGGACCACCTCTAATTCTTTTTCTTCTTGCACCCCCAAATAAGAATCAAATATGTTGCCATGAACAAACTTAAAAGTCCCTTGCTAAGCTATGCTAGCTTTCAGCACAGCTGCCCTACATCAAAGATGGGGTCATGCTCACTCAGCTTAAACGCCAGACCAGGGACTCAC